TTTTTATTTATTGTCCCTAATTTTTGTTTGATTGTTTTTTCTTTGAGACTACAGTCAACGGGATTCCCTATTTCTTCTTAAGTCTCCTTCATGGGTTTTCACTCATCGAGCTTTTCTTTTGAGATATAACGACTACCTATTTTACAGGGAACCATCACCGTCTCTTTTTTTTATTTAGGAAGGTGTTTTCATTGTGTACAAAGTGAAAGCTTGCGACTGAAAGCGCATTTGAGTTAGCTGAGAAACTACCCTGCCCCAGGATATGATTAAAGGTCTCAATTTATGCGAAAAAGAAAACTCATACTTCTTTGCCTCAAAGGGGTTGACTAGGGATTATCTTCCTTATAACTCCACTATTTAGGAATTGAAAGAAAGCATGTACATCGTCAGCAAGGTCTGTCCAAAATCATACTGTATGAGATTATGGTATTGTTTTCATGATCCTCCCTTTAAAGGCTTACAACTTTTAACGGGAGTTGAATATCACAAAAAGGGAGTAAAAATCACAGTTTAAATATAGTGAAAACGAATGGATTAATTCAAGCCAAACATATGCAATGCATTAATGAAACAAAGTTTGACATAATAGATAAGTGCTCGAACAAACAAAAGAAATTACAACTGAAAATTCAAAATGAACTGGGCACTCTCAATGATTTGGCATGGGAGAAATGATCACATTAGGAGTCTCGGGAGGGCCTAATTCAATCTCCTTGGCGTCAATCATATTTTGAATCTTGTATTTCAGAGCCCAACAATCGTTAGTCCCATACCCAGGACTGCCAGAATGATAGGCACATCTTGCGTCAGGATTGTAGTTAGGAGAATAAGTTTTGGGATTTGGATCAGTTCCTATCAATGTAATCAGGTTTATCCTTAACATGTGTTGCAATGTCTGAGACAATGGTATGTTGATTTTGGTAAACTGTCTCTTGGGCTCGTCTTACCTTCGCTGATTTTCCCGTTGTTGTTATCGCACTGATGCAGGATTAAAGATCAGGACTGCCCCCAAAGATTGGTCGTGGTTACTCTTGTTATTACCCTTCTGGCTGTACACAACATTGGACTCTTTCTTCCCATTGTATGGCTTCTTCTGAGTATCGTAAAATTCAGCCACTTGGATCTTTCCGCTTCTAATTCCATTTTCAACTTGCTCCCTAGTTAGAATCATCTCGGTGAACCCTGCTGAAGAGCTTCCAATTAGGTGATTGAAGAAAGGTCCTGTCAAAGTTCCCATAAAGATATCAACCAGCTCCCTGTCAGACAAAGGGGGTTGAACCCTTCCGGCTAGGTCCCTTCATTTTTTAGCGTATTCTTTGAAGCCTTCATTGGAACCCATGGTCATTCCTTGCAACTGCACCCTAGTTGGTGCCAGATCGACATTGTACTGATATTGACGGTAGAAGGCGGTGGCCAAGTCCTCACAGGTATGGATGTTGGAACCTTCTAACTGGTAAAACCACTCCAATTGAGTCCTAGATAGACTCTCTTGAAATAAGTGCACCCACAACTTCTTATTAGTGGTATGCGGTTGAATTTTATGAATGCAAGATCTCAAGTGAAGCTTCGGGCACGAAACGCCATCGTACTTGGCGAAAACTGGAATCTTGAACTTATGGGGGATTGCTACCCCAGGAACTAAACCCAAATCACCAAAATCCAGGTCATGCACAACTTGAATTTCCATAGCCTTCAATTTGTCCTCCAGTTTCTTATACTTGTCTTCAGCCGGTGGATATTTTTCGTCAAAATAGTCCTCATCCTCAAAGATTGGATTATTACCACCCCCAGCATGGGTGCTCCTTGCATTTTCATGCTACTTCTCATCCTCCTCAGAGGAGTCTTCTACCACTTGAACTTATCGAACGGGGCCCTTGAACCTCTTCCCCATGTAGATCAAAGCCTTCTTTTTGGTCTTATTCTTTGCAACCAGAAGTGACATCAGTTCTTGCTGCCCTTTGGCAAAGTTGAGCAAGGTTTCTTGAAATTTATAATTTTGTGTCTTCAAGTCCTTCACAGACTGCTCGAGATCCATCTTACTGAAATAAACAGTAGAAAGATGAGGAAACATGTGTCAAAAGACCTACTTATGTTATGATGCATGTAATGTGAATGCAAATACTTTCAAGGACCTTTAAGATTTAAATTTTCTTAAACAAAGAAGGAACAAACATTAATTGTATTAATAACTTCAAACAGTTACAGAAATATGCCTCTTGGGCTTACAACAAAAGAAAAAACAAATAAAATGAACAAATACAAAAGGCTCAGGTCTCATACGGATGCTGCCTCTTTGGAGTAATGTAGGCATTCAGGTTCCGCTCCTCGTGGAGTTGCCTTGTGAGCTCCAACATTTTCTTCTCCCTTAAGTAGAATTGGGCTTCAAAGGTGTCTCGCTCCCTGTTGATTTGAATCTGTGACCTTTGCAATTCCTCGAGAGTGGTAGGCATGTCAGGATGAAGAATAGTGTAGGGAACATCTCCTTCGGTGATAGGCTTCATGATGATAGGTAAGATGGCAGGATACGACAACATGAGGCTTTGAGCGCGAGCTCGCACCCACTTGAGATAAGGCTCCAAAGGAATGTAATTCTTATGCCCCAACGTCTTGCTATCAACTTTGTTCACCATGCCCCAAGCTCATACAAATATTTGACAATAACCCTGGCCATCATTCTCATAGTCAAATACAATACCTTTGACAAGGGCGTCATGAGCGTCATCCCTCCGAGCGTACCCAAACTGTCGTAGAGCCAAGAAAGGATTATAGGTGATACCTCCCCTAGTTCCAAAGAGAGGGACATTAGGGAATTACCCACAACGATCAATGATGGTGACATCCTCCAAATATCAAGAACACCAATGGATATCTGAATGTGAGAGTGACATCAACCTATTATACCATCTCAGGCCTTGCTCACTATTTAAAATATATCGAGGAAGGTGAGAAATAAACCACCTAGCCAACAGAGGAGTGCAACACATAAGAATCCCCCTTTTCTTCATGGTGCGAGTGTGAAGAGAATGCAATATGCCTCCGAGTAAGGTAGGCACCGGTTACGAGATAGAAAAACTTTGACCGCATTCACATCTATGAGTTGGTCCGGGTTAGGAAATAGTACCATCTATAAATTATAAGGGTCAAAACCTCTTCCAAATCTTGTAAATCTAAATCATCCCAAAATTGTTGAGCCTTCTCAAACAGAAACATGGCTAGAAAACCCTTAACACCACTTCTTGTTTCCCAATTGACCACAATGTCAGACCGTTGCAAATGTAAAGCTAGACCAATCTCCTTAGGTATTGGGTCTTTCTCAATACTGGTGAATGGTAATTGATCAAGAATAGGCACTCCTAAGATTTGAGAAAACTCCTCCATGGTGGGAACTAATTAGTAATCAGGAAATGTAAAGAAATGGTGTAGAGGGTCAAAGAACTGAAAGAGCACTTTCATCATGTCTTCATCAAGGCTTGAATTAACCCGATTGAGAAGTTGACCATATCTTTTGGTGAATAGAGAATTCTCAGGAACCCTTGATGCTAACTCTTTGAGTTGAGGAGGCACTCTTACGAGTTTGATTTGGACAGTATTTCTTCGCATGGAAGCCATATCCTACAAACAACACAAAGATAAATCCCTAGGTCCATGAAATGCTTAGTGAAAATGTTATGGTATGATGTCATGATGTTATGTAAAAATAATCATATACAAGCATACAAACAAGTCCTTAGGTTTAGGCTTGCAAGGGGTTTATAGGTAAGTACCCTCTTAAAGTTTAGTTGGTTCAACCTGTCCTAAAAAGTAACCAGGTTCTAGGGAATCTCAATATCAATGATCTTTCTTCATCGGACATTGGTTTAGAGTAAGCCTCTTTATTAGAGACCGAAATATCTCGAAAGTATGATCTCAATGAGCGTAGCATCGAGTATCAACCAACTTCAGACTGCACCAAAGTCGGCTATCTAAATACTTGGTAATGGCCAAGTTGTTCAATTAAAGGTTCTACGGTAAGTTAGTGATTCATGACACCACACAGCGGCCCCGTATTCTCCTTGACTGGACTCAAGGGATATCTGTACCAACAAATGTGTCACACTAACATAACCATCGCTTCAACCATATTGGTATACCCCACACTGTCCCCACGACTATTGCTACTTACCTAATAATGTTCCCCGGTCCGGGTAGAGGATCAATACAAAACCCAAACAACCATTTAAATTTAAAGCAAGCAAATCAAACAATGAAAACATTTAAATATGAACTAGTCACTACAAGAAAATTGGCAGATTGCGACAGGTATTTTTGTAGATTACGACGGTTAAAACCGTCGCAATTTGCTTTCCACGACGGTTACTTTACCGTCGCAGAAGTGTGTGTCCACAACCTATTTCGCGACGGTTACAAAAACTGTCGTTCAAGTTTACGACGGGTTGATACCGTCGTGACTATCTTTTGAGTTTCTTTTAATTATTGATGGCGACGGTTCGATACTGTCATGAATATCTTTTGAAATTGATTAATTTGTTTATGGCGACGGTTCGATACCGTCATGACTTTTGTTGATTACGACGGTTCGGTACTGTCGCCATGACTTTTGTTTATGTCTTGATTTTTTTTTATTTTTCTATTATATATATTTTTTATTTAAATTATTATCTATGTAAAAAATTTTAAATATAGTTTTTTTTGTGTTATTTTTTTCTTTAAATTATTTCTTCTTTAATATATTTATTTATAGTATTATTTTTTGTTTTATTTTCTATTACTTTGTAATATATTAAAAATAATTTCAATAAAAAATATTTAACATCAAATAAGCATTATAATATCCAAAAAAATGTGTGTTCCATAATCATGTAAAATGCGAGTTCCATAATCATGTCAAGTAGTACAAAAAACCCAAAATATATCAATTCCTAATCTTATAATAATAAGTATCATTATGCTAAAAATACATGAGAAAGTTCACAATCTAATTATCTCGATCATAGCAAAGTCTAATTTGTCCCCCCTGAAGTTCCATTATCTCCAATACGGTAGCTAGACTCAGATGAACGTCTACCATCAGCGGGTGATTCCAATCCCTAAAAAAAGGTATTAAAATAATAATCTTTAAAATAATACTCATAAAATTTAACTTTAAATGCGTCAAATTAATATACCTGTCTTCCATTGGAATAGAGTTAGCAGTACCTCATGTAAAGGAAGGTTCAACCCAAGTTCAGACGAAGTTGATCGCAAATTGGCAAATCGTCGTAAATCCCTTTCGGCTATACATGGAAGGATATATCCATCTATTTCATGAACCAACAATCAGCATTTCAAACAACTTCCAAATTTTCATCCAAGAGGTAGCATATACCAATTTCTGACTAAGACTAATGACATGACTCGGAGCACAAATTCTTGAGTTACAAGAATAAGCATTTGAAATTAGATAAAGTACCTGTTCTCTCCGAAGGCCATTCGAAGTATACAGCGCATATATGATGGAGCTTAGTACGTTGAAATGGATACTGAGAATGAGCCCTACAGAAATTTTTGCAAATTCTTATTTTAAGTGCGTATCTAATTAGTAACCAGATTCAGAACTATAGCAGATAAACTTTACCATTAACATATAGCTTTCGTAGGATCTGATTAGTATATTCTAAATTCCAATCAATATTGAGTATAGTAAAGGAACTGGAAGCAATGAATTAAATAACATACTTGAGCACAAAGTCTGAATCAGCTGAGTGGCATTTTGGCTTCAAATAAGCATCAATCACTTGTAAAATGGTATCGTCCTTTCCTATATTATTTTTAGCTCCTGCATAAACAAAAAAGATAGAAAAAATGATTAAAAAAAGTTGCAAAATGGAACTAAAATGCAATATAGATATGACAAGGGTATATATACCTTTTCTTTTTTTCACCCATCCAAGTCCTTCAGAAGCAAATTTTTTTAGAACATCTTTCTCCCCAATTGATTTTACTATCTGACAAGCTAACTCCTACAATACAACCATGGAAACAATCATGCAAAAGCACAAGCAACCATATAATATGTAAATATTCAACCCTGCTAAACAACAAGAGGTGAAAAGGCAAAAAGTAATATGATCATGAAGGATGTGTTTAAGGACTTACCGGACCTAAACCATGAACTCCTTGATGATAGTCACTGCCGAGAAGCAAAGAGAGAGCAATCTGAAGATCATGGGTTACTCGGTTACTGATTTTCACCAGAACAAGAACTCAATACCCTTGAATTTTGAATTGACAAGAAACAACGAAAGATCGTCTAAGAAAGCATTGTGACTCTTATGTTAAAACATCAATCAGAAATTTACCAATGAATCCCGTCCCAATCCAAGTTTATTTTCAATCTCTGCCATCTCATAACATACAACATATCCACCATCTCCTAACTCATTAATAAAAAAAAATTCTTGTAAGTCATATGAAAGTACAAAAAAATCCTTAGAACTTATACGAAAAATACAATTAGCACAAAAATATATTCAACAATAATATTTAAAAACGAAACCAAATGATATACTCACCAAGGCAGATTTCCCTGTACACTATCCTTGCACCAAAGAGAAATATATCTGAATCTGAACTGAAACATCCATCCTATAATTCTCAACAATGAATGACAACAATCATGATATTAGCAAACAGCAATAGTACTAGTATCCCAAAAATAACTGATAATTACAAAGTAGACAAGTGCTTACGCATAATGATTCAGAGTTCAACAAAGCACACTGTGCTTCAGCTTCTTCAATCCTGCATTTTCGAAAAAGAGCAAGATGCTATCAGTTCAAATTGGTTAACAGTCATCTATTTAACAGGCCCGGTCTACATTGTGCCATTATATTTCCTTGAAATCGCTTGAATAGATGTATTACACTACACAGGGTTTCAGCAATAAAGCAGATATGTAAATATTTTCAATTTCAACTGACTCCTTACTTACGTGCAGATAGAGAACCGGGTGAATTGCCAAAACCTTGGTTAAAAGGAGCTCCATTTTGAGAAGCCTTCAATAATATCCATTGTTATTACATGTTAAGGGTAAGACAAATCACTAAACATATTTAGAAAAAACTAGAATTGTAAACTCACTTCAGCTAGAGCACGGGCTTCCTTGAATGAACTTGATTCATCAACATCTTTAAATCTTTCAAAAGCATTCTTCTGCACAGTTTCTTCTGGAGACACATCTACAAAAGCTTCAATAAATAAATATTTATCAGGAAAATTTTAATTCCAGCAAATTTATATGGACACACTTCACAATTTGTTATAAACATGCATTATAGATAGGGATAACATACAAACCAGAGAAATCTAACAAATAAAAACACTAATGTTACCTGTTTTTTTTCTTTCCGCCTATATTGAACATAAACAGCCCAATCATTTTCAGGAATGCCTCTGCATTTTGGATAATTTTGAAGATTTTCCTCCAAAAGGAGATCCCATCTATTAAAATAACTCATGATGTGTATGTCTTCTTCAGTCTACAAACAAGACTTAAAGTTGCAGGGTAAGAGTGGAGAAGAGTCTCAACTATCTCACCAATTCGGCTGTTCGAATCATGTCATGATGACCTGTTGAGCGAAGTTCCCTGTAGATGACATCTGATTCTTTGAAGGCATCTGCTTCAATGACTACAGAATTTCCTGATGCTCCTGCCCAGAAAGGTCTGTTTAAATTTCATTCATAAAGAAACAACATTAGGTTCTTATAACTGTTTATTTTGACGATTTCATGATGAGTAGTCTTGTACATCAAAACTCTAAAGCTAGATAAACACTAATGATAGTTGAAACAAGAAAACAACACATTTATGAACTTCTTTTTGGAGAATCTAAACTAGTTAAATATTAATATATACTCAAACAATCCATTATGTGCAGACTTTATACAGAATTAAGCTAACAAAGTAATGTTTAGTTTTTGCTCAGAAACTGTAATTTCTTGCTGTAATTCTTACTCTTTGAGAATATCCTTGAGTACAGTGCTCTTGCCAGCTCCCATACCTCCCCCCATTAGAAGAAGGACCGGGCTCCTATCACTGTGAGTACATTGAGAGTCATCATTTACTGCAATACCCATCACTTTCATCTCTTCCACTAATGTATTAAAAACACTAGCCACCTTCAGACTCTTGGCAACTCTCTCGAACCTTTGATCCCTGTGCAAAGAATACTATTCACCTTTAGAAAAAAATAACAATTCTTTGGAACATAATAATGATTCTCATCTCATTTTAAAATATATTATACTAGTTGTTCATAAAGAATGTTAGAAATACAAACCTAGTAGCAGCCATAACTATGTTCTTTAGCTTCTTTTTTGGCTCAGAAATGTCCGAGCTCAAAACCTGCAAAGCCAAAAAAATCAGTTTTAGAGAGTGTATTGCTGCTAACACCTCTGATATTTTGTTAATAACTAGATAACCCTGATACCTGACTTATCAATATGTCACAATGGTTCCAATGAAATCCAAAGTAACTAAGAATGCATCTCTCAAACTCTTCCACCAACTTAACATAAAGTGAATCAGCATCTGGTTTATTCTCAAAATAGGCATATATATCATCTTCAAACCCTTCATATTTGCTTATGTATTCAGAAGCCAATCTACATATATCAGGACCGATTCTCCTATCCTTGAACCCCATTTGCCTAGCTGTAACAAATCAAAGAAAATGACATATAGATTCATTCCAATTTCCAAATGATAAAATAATAACGGATCCATCAATGTATGTAATTGAATAAAATACATATTTTTTTGTATACCTACGTAATGAGAGAATCTTTCAAGCTTTGGGGGTGACCTGCACGCGATAATCTTAAACGCGGAATGATCTTTTGATCTCGAATCTTTTTGAGATGATAACGCAATGCTATGAAAAATATCAACCCAATAGATGAGATTACCAAGATCTGTGTAAAGCTGGGTTTAGCATCATAATCTGAATCAACATTGGATTGTGTGATGTTAATACAATGTCGAATATTTGTAATGAAGGAGTTTTCCAAACCAACCTCCTCACAGACACAGTGACAGGAAAGTTACCCATAAAACATGAGTATCAAATACTCCCATGGTCTTAATTCCTCAGTCCTCACATTGCAATCAGGTAGAATAAATAAATGAATGTATGTTAGAAAACATGCATATATTTCTCAAAACAAGAGAATCTCATCTAAGACTATAACCCTATAAACAAAAAGTGTGATCATTTTGCTGCAGATCTGAGTAGATCACAAATTTAGTACCAGACCTCAAGTTCAAAATGTAGTAGTAATAATAATGCATTATGCATATACATGATGTTAATTTTATGCATGATTCTACCTTATAATGTAGCATAGTTGCTTCAAAAGAGAGAGGCTAATGCTACATTACATAATAACATGGCACTTTCAAATTTCTTTGGCTTCTAAATGCAAATTCAAATAGGTAAACAACAAACTGATTAATACCAGATCATCATCATCACGGATAAGTCCCTTATCGCTTCCTTCTCGTTCCCTGAGTAATTTATTTTCTTCTTCAAGTTGAGCACAGCGCGCTTTAGCAAATGCTAAATCCGCTTTAACGGTTTTTAGCTCACGAAGAAGTAATTTTGCTTTTGCTGCTGTTGCCAATGCCACCTGAAATCAAAACAAAAGAAAATGTAGCTTGTTTGGTTACATAAGAATTTAACAGAACTTGGATAGTAGAATATGTATGTTCCATATGTGAACTAAATTTAAATTCATCACATGAGAGGGACTAAGAACAGATTCTACTAAGTTAAAATGTATTAACAATTCCAAAATCATTATAAGATGTTCTATCATCTATGCCTACACTATAACAACTAACGAGACTGCAACCATTATACATGATTACAATGATGGCAACAATGTGAATGAACACGCGGCTCCTTGTAGAGGGAGCTGAATATTCAAAATTAAAGTTTAGAAATTCATGATTAGCAGGAAACAATGCTATGAACTGATGATTATTGAAACCAACTCTTGGAATTTCCCAGTTGCCCCTGAAAGATAATTAACAATCTTCTATCATCATTTGATCCGTAGAAAAGGAAATTAACTAAAGAATAAATAATTAAATACCTATAGTGAAACAAAGGAGCTTGAGGAGCAGTGTAGCCTTTAAATTGCTGCATTCAACAACACAATCAACAAAATAGAGGGGAACATAATTAAGCATTTTTTCCGTACAAATTTGAATAACTTATATGTTGAGTAAGACAATAGAAACAAAGTGCAGACCTGTTGGCAAATCTCACAAGTAGTATCACCTTTCTCATTGCACCATCTTTGCACACATATTCTATGAGCATACTGCAATGTACCAGAACAAGAACAAGGTGTATCCATGTTTAAGTCTTCATCTTCATCGTGACATATTCGACATTGTACCAACGTATTAGGCGAACATGACTCAATTTGATCAACCATTTAGAATGGAAAAAAAAATCACATCAACATTGTTTGACCATAGAGTTGTAATCCTTAAGATTTAGGATGAAGTAATCAATCAACAAAATCAAACCAATATCAAAATCAAAAGCACTAGAAAATATTTTCTTTTGAAAAATTATAACTACAATATAGACCAATTTCATTATATGAGTAGTTGCTTTTAGTTGTGTTTGCCTAAGGTAGTAGGTTTGGAAAAGGTAACAGAAGAAAGGAACTTTAATTCCACATACTCAAGAAAGGTATTACTGTTTAGCAATTTGAAATTCAAACACAAACATTAACTACAAAAAAAAAAGTATATATGAATCTTGGGATTGCCTATGAATATTGACATTGGAATATCAAAAATATTTCTTTCCATTAAATGAATGGTGGTCCAAATGTTGTGATGAAACCTTCCTTCAAATAAAATACCAAACTTCAAGCTTTTATTTTTCCTTTGTCTTCAACTACCACCAAATCAACAATTCAACACGATCAATTTAGGATTCAACAAGTCCTTAAAGTATCACACAATATTTAAAAGAGACAATATCTTGTAAACACAATACCGACTTTAAGGATTCAACGAAGTCCTTGAGATCTCAGGTCTGCTATCTTACTCTCCGCCATTGTTCTTCCATCCTGAGGAAATCAAAGAAGTTACATTGAAGATATATAACAATCATCGATGCGCACTATCAAACACATGAAATTCAGATAAACACATCAACAGATAGATAGATAGAGTTACCTCATAAGCCTTCTCACTGATGTTGTTTCCTGACTATTTGAAGAAAAAATGCTAGCAAAAGTATGCACAGTGACCTTCCCCTGCACTGAATTCCGAGCATGTATTACTTATGAATGCCTCTTCAGACATGAGTGCAAAACATTGAAATACATTCAATTTGCATGGAAATTTTCATTATAACTATGTCGATTCAACTTCAATTTCAATATAATTACATACATTTCATTCAAGTACATCATAACCTAATAACCCTATTTCTGGTAAGCAAAAATCATATTCATAAGATTACCAGATTTTAGATTTTGGTGAGATTTAGAAGCAGCCCTGGTGACATGAGAGGATGAAGAGTTAGCAGAAACGCGAAAAGTCCCAAAAGCGAAAGGCTTTCTTCTTGTGAAGACGTTTTTTGAGGAGGAATGTCCCAGAAGCAGAGGTTTAGGGGAAGAAATAAGGGCTAAGTTAAGATTCTCCATTTCGAAGGTATGAAAACCGAAAATTGACGAAACTGAGAAATTGGTGGTGGTTGTGAGATGAGGAAGCGAAAGAGGTTTGAAAATTTTGGGGGAACTGAAGATAGTTGAGAGTGGTCTATGGCGGAATGAGAGTTTGGGTTTCGGGTTCCTTGTTTGCGGTAGGGACAAGTGAAAAATAGCAATTTATGATTTGGAACTTGGATTGCTAGAGAATATACTAGCAAATAAAATGCAAGGTAAAAAAGTTTTTTAAAATGGGAAAAATGAAACACTGGTCTTTTAAAAATATAAAAAGAAAAACCAAAATCTACTTATCAAAAAACTCCATAAAAGTCCATGTGAGTTACCTCACTTGGATGGGATATTCCTAGATCTTAGTAAATATGAGTGGTTAGGGTGGCTCACGGTGGTAATAAACTTTATTTAGTGATATTTATAATGTTTACAGAGTAGAAAATGAATTGATGTTTTATGTATTTTAAGAGCTTTTTAACTTTTTTACGGCGACGGGTGTTTTACCGTCGTGCCCATGAGAATTTTTAAAGGTTTTGGGTGCGACGATTATTTTACCGTCGTGAAATGAATTTTAGGACGGATAATTTTACCGTCGTGAAAGGTTTAAGGGTGCGACGGGTGCTTTACCGTCGTGATATGCCTTTTAGGACGGTTAATTTTACCGTTGTGACTAGTTGTTGGTGAAAAATCAATGTTAAAAGTGTTAAATGGGGGTCGACGGTTGTTTTACCGTCGTAATAATAATATTATGATGGTTAAATATACTGTCGCAAAATAAATATTAGGGACGGTTGGTGTCAACTGTCGTAAACACTGTCTCTATATGTCAATTACGACCGTTATCACATAACTGTCGCAATTTTTGTGTCGTTAAACACTAATTTTCTTGTAATTCCTCGAGAGTGGTAGGCATGTCAGGATGAAGAATAGTGTAGGGAACATCTCCTTCGGTGATAGGCTTCATGATGATAGGTAAGATGGCAGGATACGACAACATGAGGCTTTGAGCGCGAGCTCGCACCCACTTGAGATAAGGCTCCAAAGGAATGTAGTTCTTATGCCCCAACGTCTTGCTATCAACTTTGTTCACCATGCCCCAAGCTCATACAAATATTTGACAATAACCCTGGCCATCATTCTCATAGTCAAATACAATACCTTTGACAAGGGCGTCATGAGCGTCATCCCTCCGAGCGTACCCAAACTGTCGTAGAGCCAAGAAAGGATTATAGGTGATACCTCCCCTAGTTCCAAAGAGAGGGACATTAGGGAATTACCCACAACGATCAATGATGGTGACATCCTCCAAATATCAAGAACACCAATGGATATCTGAATGTGAGAGTGACATCAACCTATTATACCATCTCAGGCCTTGCTCACTATTTAAAATATATCGAGGAAGGTGAGAAATAAACCACCTAGCCAACAGAGGAGTGCAACACATAAGAATCCCCCTTTTCTTCATGGTGCGAGTGTGAAGAGAATGCAATATGCCTCCGAGTAAGGTAGGCACCGGTTACGAGATAGAAAAACTTTGACCGCATTCACATCTATGAGTTGGTCCGGGTTAGGAAATAGTACCATCTATAAATTATAAGGGTCAAAACCTCTTCAAAATCTTGTAAATCTAAATCATCCCAAAATTGTTGAGCCTTCTCAAACAGAAACATGGCTAGAAAACCCTTAACACCACTTCTTGTTTCCCAATTGACCACAATGTCAGACCGTTGCAAATGTAAAGCTAGACCAATCTCCTTAGGTATTGGGTCTTTCTCAATACTGGTGAATGGTAATTGATCAAGAATAGGCACTCCTAAGATTTGAGAAAACTCCTCCATGGTGGGAACTAATTAGTAATCAGGAAATGTAAAGAAATGGTGTAGAGGGTCAAAGAACTGAAAGAGCACTTTCATCATGTCTTCATCAAGGCTTGAATTAACCCGATTGAGAAGTTGACCATGTCTTTTGGTGAACAGAGAATTCTCAGGAACCCTTGATGCTAACTCTTTGAGTTGAGGAGGCACTCTTACGAGTTTGATTTGGACAGTATTTCTTCGCATGGAAGCCATATCCTACAAACAACACAAAGATAAATCCCTAGGTCCATGAAATGCTTAGTGAAAATGTTATGGTATGATGTCATGATGTTATGTAAAAATAATCATATACAAGCATACAAACAAGTCCTTAGGTTTAGGCTTGCAAGGGGTTTATAGGTAAGTACCCTCTTAAAGTTTAGTTGGTTCAACATGTCCTAAAAAGTAACCAGGTTCTAGGGAATCTCAATATCAATGATCTTTCTTCATCGGACATTGGTTTAGAGTAAGCCTCTTTATTAGAGACCGAAATATCTCGAAAGTATGATCTCAATGAGCGTAGCATCGAGTATCAACCAACTTCAGACTGCACCAAAGTCGGCTATCTAACTACTTGGTAATGGCCAAGTTGTTCAATTAAAGGTTCTACGGTAAGTTAGTGATTCATGACACCACACAGCGGCCCCGTATTCTCCTTGACTGGACTCAAGGGATATCTGTACCAACAAATGTGTCACACTAACATAACCATCGCTTCAACCATATTGGTATACCCCACACTGTCCCCACGACTATTGCTACTTACCTAATAATGTTCCCCGGTCCGGGTAGAGGATCAATACAAAACCCAAACAACCATTTAAATTTAAAGCAAGCAAATCAAACAATGAAAACATTTAAATATGAACTAGTCTCTAAGGTAACCCCACTTTTAAGTCATTATCCCCAACAGAGTCGCCAATTTTGTAATACGGAGGAAGAACTGACTTGGGAGTTTTGCGTTTTATCGCAATTGTTGTGGATATAAAGAGTCGCCATCGACTTTTACTTTATCCAATAAAGGAAAGTGTGAAAAGAACAGGAAAGACCTTTTGAGATATTTTCTTGAGTTCGGGGGGTAGGTTATGAAAAGGGATGGTGTTAGCACCCTTTTCATCTGTAGTTATCTATGGGCTCTTAGTTGCTAGCTCACTTTGAAATTCTTTGTTTGAAATGTGTTTGTGATGGTTTTGAAAGTATTTTTGAAAAGTGCCTTCGTTTAGGCGAACTTTGTAATGATTCTCGTCTCTATAAGAATGCATACAAAGTGTTGACTTTTGAAAATATTTCATTAGAAAGTGTAGGTGTGTTTGAAAGATGTTTTGAAAATGGTTGTGAGCAAGCAAATATGAACTTTCTACCTACTTAAAAAGTATTTGTTCATTTCCTCCTCCTTTAGATATTTCTATCTTACCATTGATTGATAAGAAGCCCTATCATTGGATGTGAATGGACAGGCATGGGTTGTCGTACAATCATAGAAGGCAATATTATAGGATACCTTAGAAATTTGTTATGAGGGTCTAAGATCGTTTACCAAAGGAAAAATTTGAAGGGTCGTCGAGGGACTACGATCTTGTATTCGAGGGTCATTTCTAAAGTATCCCACGTTTGAGGGACATCACTGTTTTATTCGAGGCAACAAGTATGGGTTACCCTAGAAGTGAAAGTGTGCAAAGTGTATTGATTTCATGCATTTTTGTCTTTGAGATTAGGGTTTTATAATGATTGATTTTATCTTGCCATACAAACTCTAATTACTAGCAATAATATTGAAAGGAATAAATTGTGGGAATTTAAAGTTCTACGCTATTACATCTTTTTTGGGGGATGGGGATACAAGTTTATGAATGGGGGATGAAAGCAATAAAGTTCTAATTATACTATTACAAACAT